GAGAGAGATTTGTCCTGACTGTGGGCCAGGCAGGAAAACTCTAGCTACAAATGGTGTCCAATGTGGTGGCAAGCGTTTCCACCTAAAAACTGAGAAAAGAGATTCTAAAACGGAGCTAAAAACAGTTCCTAATTGTCTCTCTCAAATGAGCAGCAGCTGCTGGTTTGAGCTACTGGCGGGTTCCTATCCTGCGCGCTCGACCTGCCGTATGGCGGGAATGAGGCCTCTGCAAGTGGCACATTAAGCTGCATGGTGGATTTAGCCTTTGCTAGTACAAAACAAAAAAAAGAGGTTTCTGGGCTACATGCTGCTTGGATAAAAGCATAGACCCACGATAGCTCCCAGAGTTGGTGGTAAACCACCGCCATGTTGGGAAGCTGAGGTGGGCGGAGCTAACAGCCACAGCTGCTGCAGTTTAAACCAATAGATTCACAATAAGATTCAGATGTAATAGTTTACAATGTGTGTAAAATATACGTAGGCTTGAAAGAGACAAAAAAGGTGATATATACAGTTATATAAACAAATACATAGTTTTAAAAAATAAAGTCTTTAAAGAGACAGTAAAATTAATATAATAAATAAGCCACGTAAAGATGAATATTACACAGAGAATCTGGATTGTGTTGTCTTTGGGATTTTTAACTGCAGAAAAACATTTGATCGTAAAAGATGTTGAGTTAAACCAATATGTATATTTTAAAGATACCTTGACTTCAAAATTTAGATTTAAGGATGTGTTGCTTTGGAAAGGAGACTCTGTTTTTGTTCCCACAGAAAGCCAGAGGCTATGGATTTGTTCCAGATTAAGATACATCAGGTTTGACCAGCCAAGACCTCCTGAAAGGTCTCCGATGACACCATGGCCCAGATGATTCAACATGCAGAATGGTTTGAAGGCAACTGGCTCAGACAATACAGCCTCACGGGCTACTCCATGATCCTAAAATTTTCTTTGTGTCCCCATAAGATACAGCACCCCCCTCCAGCAGGAAGTAGTAAGAGAAGCTACGCCCAAATTCCCAAATTATATGTAATTTTACTTTGTTAAGGTTAAAACCTTCCTTTTGGGAAAAAAGGGGGGGGGTGCTGTAGGATGTTCTGTATGGCAAATGTGTTGCTGATTAGTCAATAAATAAAACACTGATTGGCCATTGGCTAGGCAGGAAGTGTAGGCAGGACAAGGAGGAGAATAAAGTTGGGAAGTGGAAGGCTGAGTCAGAGGAACTGCCAGCCGCCACGATGACAAACAGCATGTGAAGATGCCGGTAAGCCACGAGCCATGTGGCAAGGTATAGATGAATGGAAATGGATTAATTTAAGCTGTAAGAACAGTTAGCAAGAAGCCTGCCACGGCCATATAGTTTGTAACCAATATAAGTCTCTGTGTTTACTTGGTCCGGTCTGAGTGGCTGTGGGACTGGCAGGTGAGAGAGATTTGTCCTGACTGTGGGCCAGGCAGGAAAACTCTAGCTGCAGATATCATTGTTTTTCACTGCTGAGTAGTACTCCACTGTGTATATGTGCCACATTTTCTTTATCCATTCTTCAGTTGAAGGGCATCTAGGTTGTTTCCAGGTTCTGGCTATTATGAATAATGCTGATATGAACATAGTTGAGCATGTGTCCTTGTGGTAAGATTGAGCATTCCTTTGGTATATGCCCAAGAGTGATATAGCTGGGTCTTGAGAAAGACTTATTCTCAATTTTCTGAAAAACCGCCATACTGATTTCCAGAGTGGCTGGACAAGTTTGCATTCCCACCAACAGTGGAGGAGTGTTCCCCTTGCTCCACATCCTCTCCAACATAAGCTGTCATCAGTGTTTTTGATCTTAGCCATTCTGACAGGTGTAAGATGGTATCTCAGAGTCATTTTGATTTGCATTTCCCTGATGACTAAGGATGTTGAGCAGTTCCTTAAATGTCTTTCAGCCATTTGAGATTCTTCTGTTGAGAATTCTCTGTTAAGCTCTGTAGACCATTTTTTAACTGGATTGTTCAGTATTTTGAAGTCTAGCTTTTTGAGTTCTTTATATATTTTGGAGATCATCCCTGTCAGATATGGGGTTGATAAAGATCTTTTCCCATTCTGTAGGCTGAAAGACTCTATTCTTTTAGTCTTCTATCCCAATTCTTTTGGTTATTGATATTACAAATTAATCCTTATAGACTACATGCCCAAAATATAAACTAATAGTTGATTTAAATGCATTAGCCTTTAAAAAATAATTATTATTGTGTGTCTGTGTAAGTACATTATGGGGGAAACAGAAACATGGTAAAGCACATGTTTGGAGATGAGAGGACAGCTCTGTGAAGCTGGTTTTCTCTTCCCACTTTACACAGGTTCCAGCGATCAAACTCAAGTCATCAAGCTTGTATAGCAAATTTACTCACCGAGCCACCTTTCTGGTCCCTACTTAATCTTTTAAATTATGCATAAAATAAACTTTGGAGTTATAAACTAAAATTATAATAATACTGGCTTTTAACTAATTGTTTTAATATGTATTAATCCTTAACAGAAACCAAAAAGAACTGCAGAACACTGAATATTAGCTTTCAATTTTTTCAATTTTATTTTTATTTTATGTGTAAATTTGAATACCTGTGTGTATGTTTGTGCACCACATGTATACCTGGCACCCAAGGAAGACAGAAAACAGCACTGGTTTCCTGGAACTGGAATTACCAACACCTGTAAATCATAATGTGGGAATGGGGAACTGAACTCAGATCCTCCGGAAGAGCAGCCAGTGCTCTTAACTATTGAGCCAGCTCTCTAGCCTTCAAGTTTTTTCATCACACTTATTTATTTATCTATTTATCTATTTGGACTGTGTGTGTAGGCTCACGTGCCATATTCATATGTGTACGTCAGAGAACAACTTGTAGAAGGTCGTTCTCTCCTTCTACTGAATGGGTCTCAAGGATCTATCAGGCTTGGCAGCAGACACCTTCATCCACTGAGCTATGGAACTGGCCGAACTATCAAAAACAAGTTTTGAGACAAGGTGTCATTGTATAGTCCTGGCTGGCCTGGAACTCACTCAATAGATCAGGCTAGCCTAGAATTCAGAGATCTACTTTATGCCTCCTGGGTGCTGGGATTAAAGGTGTGTACTACAATACCTGGCTACAAACTGATCTTGTAGTGCTCATAGCGCTATTGTAACAAATTACACAAATTGAATGATTTATCACAACAGAAATTTATTCTGTTACGGTTCTAATGGCCCAAAGTCCAAAATCAGGTTGCTGGCATACATGGTTCATTCTGGAAACTTTTTGCTGCTCACCTGTGTTCTGGTGGCTGCCAACAATTCTTGGGATTCCTTAGCTTGTGATGTATTACTTTAATCTCTACCTCCCTCAATCATATTATCTCTTCTCTTCAAAAGACATTTTTAACTGTATTTAGGTCTCATGCTGGTAGTTTGAATGAGAATGGTCCCCAAAGGCTCATATACTTGCATCCTTAGTCCCCAGCTGGTGAATTGCTTGGAAGGATTAGGAGGTGTGGCCTAGCTGGATTTGGTGAGTTTTTGTTGGAGGAGGTGTGTGACCTGGGGGTGGGCTTTGAGGTTTCAAAAGCCCATGCCAAGCCTAGTGAGTCCCCCCCACCTCTCCTCTCTATCTGCTGCCTGTGGACCAGGATGTAAAGTTCTCAGGTACTTCTCAAGCACCCTGCCTAACGCCATGCTCCCTGTCGTCATGATGATAATGGACCCGAAACTTACTCTGAAACTGTAAGCAACCCCCCAATTAAATGCTTTCTTTTATAAGAGTTGCCTTGGTCATGGTGTCTCTTCACAGCAATAGAACAGTGACTAAGATACATGCTAATCAAGGATTATCTGTCTTTAGGTACTTAATTACATTTGCAGACTCTCTTTTCCAAATATGTTCCATGTATAGATTATGGGTAGATACATCTTTTGAGGAATATCATTCAATTTATGCAATTCTAGAGACAGAAAACAAATTGGTGGTTGTCAGAGACAGGGGGTGATTAGAAGAAAGGGTTATAAAGAGTCCTGAAAAAAATTGTGGTCCATTATCTTGATTGTAGTGACAGTTTCATGGATATAAACACATATTAAAAGTCATTAAGTGAGTTGGGTGCCTTTAATCCCAGCACTTGTGAAGCAGAGGCAGGTAGATCTTTGTGAGTTTGAGGCCAGCCTGGTCTACATAGTGAGTGCCAGGACAGCCAGGGCTACACAGAGAAACACTGACTTCAAAACAAAACAAAACACTCCCACCCACCCCCTCAAAAGTTGTATTTTTTGTACACTAAAGTGTACAATTTGTACACTAAAGTGTACAATTTGCAATGAGAAAACCATCATTTCTCATATTGGAATTTTAAAATGCAATCATGAGTGATACTAATCCTAAACCATTCAAACTCAAAAGAAAAACTAGAGTTTTTTTAACAAGTGGAAACTGAGGGAGCTATAACCATTCCAGACACTGAGATGGGAGGATCATGAATTTGAAGATGATAGCCTGGTCTATATAGCAAGACTCCCCATCTCAAAAAAAAGTGTGTGTGGGGGGGATTGCAGAAGAGAAAATCTGAGTTATAAATTCAATGACTGACAGAGTGACAGTGGCTACCCCAAATAGGAACACAATGTAAATCAGAGAGCTTAATGCTTGTTTCCCAAGGCCTCACATGGATCCTTGGTGAAGGCTTGTGTAGTCAGTGAACCACAGGAGCACTAACAACACAACTCTCTGTGCTACCAAGTATGCCTGTAGACCAGGGAGGTTGGCTAAGAAAACCAAGAAGTGAAAGAACATCCAGGAAGGTTGCAAAGACAAATAGGAAACTTTTAAAAGGATACATAAAATCAAACTGTAAAATTAACATACATATGACCAAGTAATTCAATGTAGCCATTTTCATTCTCATTTACCAAGACAAAAGTTTACCTTGTAATTACTATGAGAGAAGAAAAACAAAAGGGGAGAGAAGTATGAACTCTCACAGGACTGCCTCTTCCCAGACTCTTAGTAGTAAGTATTTAATAATGCACTGGAAAATCTGCTCAAACACAAAATTTCCTGCTGTATTGTTTAAAAACTACTAAATTAAATACATAAGCAAAATGCATGTTTCCTATTCCACTGAAAGTTTAAAGTTAAACATAGTAAAGCAAATAAATGTAGATTTATCTATTAATAAACTTTATGGTGTTATTCCATGGAAAATATATCACATTAAAGGACCAAAACACAATCTTTGAAAAAGATCAAGCATCTTTAATGAGATTTACTAAGCAACACCCATTTGTTCCAGTGTATCAAGTTTAACTCCCATGACTAGCAGTTCTATTTGGCAATCTCAATGCATAAGACAAATAATTCATAAAAGTTTGACAATATTATTTTTAGTCTGCATGCTTCTTGGATTTAGCCCATAAATGCTTCTTCTTTATGTTACTCCAGGGACTGATTCCATTCAGGCACAAAGATGTTTGTCAGCCATTGTAAGAGAGTAAAAACACTCTGTTCAATCATTATATTCTGAGAATTCAAATAATATAACTCATTTGGGAAGACATTAAGAACACGACAATTAAAAAGTGACTATTGCTGCACTGAAATGGTGTCAAGGAAGTATGACAGAATAATCAAGACTGCATACTATGAATGAGAAGTAAATCTCTAATAGCTATAGTTACTAATGATCCATTCTGGTAAGTTTAACAATTTATCTGTCTATCATAAAACAAGGTTGAAAATGGTCAACTAAAACAGCTTGTTAAATGGAAACAGTGTTTACATGTACCTTGATAATATTATAAATGTACCTTGATTATACTATGAAGCACAGAATGCTTTTAATTTTAATGAGGGAGAAATACATCTAAAATTAGAACTCAACAAAAACATCTGAATCAATTGTTTCCCCCAACTACTTCCAAACAAAATATTTCAAATTCCACACAAGATTCTGCAAACCCTATGAGTACAAGCTCTAATCTTGACACTGAATTTGGAACATCTCCATGGAGGAAATCCATGGACCAGATGTGAATTTATTCTTCCAGATGCATTTTATAAATATGAGAACAAATAAAACATTTCTCTACTTAAAAATACACTGGATAGAATTAGCAAAGAGGAAATCCCACAGATCTTCAGTATTCCACTACTCTAAGGCATCATTCACTAGACACTAAAGAAGAACTAATTACTGTTCTACATTTTCAGTTAACATCAACTTCACACTTACAGTTCATCATTTCTGTGTTCAGTAGCCATATTAATCACAACAGAAATTGTTTTAAATAACATTTTCCTTAATTTTATATAGAAATTAAGGAGAAAAAATACCTTCAGTTTTAATTAAATACCATGACTTCAAGATTCAAGGTAAATTTTTATATACAAAGAAAAACGAATCTACAATGGCAAATTAATGATCACAACAAAATTGAATAAAATCTAATTTCATGATCTCTTAGTTTTTTTTTTATAATACTTAAAATGCCGATGGCATAAGTCCTAAAATTTAAAACTTACTATCACAAAATCCAATTTTCAGCATATTAAGAATTTAAACAAAAGTGGTCTTTGGGAACGTATGTATGTATGTATGTATGTATGTATGTATGTATGTGTGTGTGTGTATGTATGTATGTGTGTGTGTACGTATTACTTTATGTGTATGGGTGTTTTGCTTGCAGGTATATCTGTGTGCTTGATGCACCCAGAGGTCAGAGGAGGGCATCAAATTCCCTAAAACTGAAGTTGCGAGATTGTTGTGAGCTGCCGTATGACTGCCGGGAATCGAATTTGGTCCTCTGAAAAAACAAGTTCTCTTAACCAATGAGCTATCTCTCCAGGCCTTAGGTACTTACATTTCATTTGCCCCTTCCATCCAGTGATATTTAAAACATTTAACAGATCCTATTAAATATTTAACAAAAGTCAAGAAAATGGATGAGATGCTATTTTTATGCAGAAGTGATACATAAATACAATTTAGTAGTAAGAATTATGAACAGATAGATATAATCTTAATTTCTATTTTAAATGATAATTGCCTAATCCACTAAGAAAGAATGGCAACTCATGTAACCACTGTAAATTACTAAGGCATAAATGCATTTGTACAAGCACGTTAGACTGACTTCATTTTTGTGCAACTGTTTTCAATTATTCAATAAGAAATTTACACTTATTTTATCCTGCAATAAAAATGATTATCTTAAATTTAACGGCCTATTTAATCTAAAATGATTTTAAATGATTTCACAGTAGTACATAATGCTTACTTAAATGATTCAAATTCTAAATTAAAAGAAAAAGCTTTCCCAGGTAGAAGGTATTTTAGAAGTGATCACTGTTTAATTCAAAGAGTGAGGATGATTTCTTGTTGAACATGGATGCTGGGAACCAGTTACTTCAATAACTGTAGGATAAAAAGCGAGAAATTATGTTCTTTAGTAAAACTATAGAGTACTCAAATCATAAAACAGTGTTTCTTTTCCAGTACCAGAATGAACAAGAAATGATTTCTTTCACATGCATGCATATTTAATGCGTAACTTTTTTCTGTTGTGTCAAAAACTATTGAGCTTTGCTAAGAGTAATTCTGTGGAAATATACAATTGTGATTAGATTTTATATAAAGAAAGAACAACATTTAGTTAAAGAGCTCTATTTCAGATGTTTTCTTTTCACTATGAAAAATTCTATCAAAGGAAAAGAGGAAGAGGAGGAGAATAAAGGCTAAAAGGGCAGTGAGATGGCTCAATAGTAAAAGCTTGTGTGCAAGCCTGATGACCTGTGTTCAACCCCCAGAACCCATGGCAGAAAAAGAACTGATTCCAGAAACTTGTTCTCTGTCCTGGACACACGCACCACACTATGACCATACCTGTAATCAACCACATATACGTACCATATATACACACAGTAATAATTTTTTAAAAATTTAATTGAAAAGAAATTCTAGGGACTGGAGAGATGGCTCAGCAGTTAAAAGCATCCTCTTGCAGAAGATCCAAGTCCGGTTCCCAGCATCCATGTCCATCTGCTTAAGCTACCTGGAAGTCTAGGTCCAAGAGATTCAAGGCCCTTTCCTTGCATCAGCAGATACCTACACACACACACATATGCACATAATTAAAAAATAAAAAATTTAAAAATATTTAAAAAGAAATGAGAAATTCTATCAAAGGCCAAAAAAATCTATTTATTTAAAAGGAACTAATTATAAATTTTACTTAAATTTATTTTGAATTGGAATGACAAAAATCTAAGCTGAATTGTATAAAGCTTCTAGTTTTAGGGTAAAAAAACCCATTCGCCAGCAGATAAGGATAGCTGCAATCTAATATATTATCAATTAGCAAAAACATCTTTGGGTAGTACTCAAAAAAAAAAAAAACAGAACAAAAAAGTAAGAAGAAAAACAGAAAAGATAAAATGAGGAAAGCAAAATTATTTTAATCTGATATAAAAAATTACAAGCTTTTAAAGACTATGAGACTGTTTCTTGCAACAAAAGCCCATTAAGGATATTGAAAACAAAATGAAGCACAGGAAGAAAAAAAACCATCAAATTTGTAACTTATTAAGAGAAAACAGAAATGAAGAGAGCTTTTCTCCTTTTAAATTATTATTGTTTTTATTGCTTTTATTTGGCAGTGCTGGGCTTGAACCGGGAACTTAATGTGTCTGAGCCAAGAACCCTCACTGCCTGAATTCTATCACCAGCCACTTCTAAACTGTCTTTACACTTATAAAGCATTGTTGTTTCTATGAGACCATTCTCCAATGGCATACTTTCAGCATTACACTTTTATAATCTAATGTATTTTATTTCAATCTCATAAATAGTTCCAAAAACTAAACCACAAAACAAATATTAAAAAACGTATTTCATTTAGTATGTCACTATAGGAATTTTGATAGGTTAAATAATAGAGAATATAATTAATAAATATTTTTAAAACATGAGTCAAAATATTATTTGATTTCTTTCTTCGTCAAATAATTAAAGAGAGCCCGCTGTGGTCCAATGACTTCAAGTACCACAAAGATGCAGTACTGAATTAGCGAGCCAGGCAAGCCCCTTGCCCTCATGAAAGCCGCTCTCTTGGGGGTCAGTGGGCAAGCGAGTAGTTGTGGTAAGTGCGACTCAAAAAGTTACTCAATTTTTCACCTTCTGAAATATTTAATGTTGGCGAATTACTAATTAAAGTTTCTGTGAAGTTCCCAAGTCAAACGTCTCTTAGTGCTTCTCTTACACAGTGTTTAAGAACTGAAGAGTCTCCCTCATTGATAGCTCTAGTTCTTTTCCACTTCCTTTTCTATTCCTAGAAAGGTAGAAATTTTAAATTGTGCACAATTTTTCATATTCTTAGAATAAATCTGTTCAAAGACACTATTTTAATTTTTAAAATCTTAGCACATGTTCTTCACAGTACTAATGTTATTAGTTTTTCTAATTCTTAATCCCTTTGATCAAGAAAACTACCCAACTTTAAATGTTTTAGACCAAGTCTGGCGACACAAGTCTGCAATCTCAGAACCCAGGGAGTGAGACTACAAATTCAAAGCTTGTCTGGGCTATGGACTGAATTCAAGACCAGTCAGATACTATTTCAAAGTAAAACTCTTTTTGTGATTGGTGGTAGTTTTTTTGCGTGTGTGTGTGTGTGTGTGTGTGTGTATGTGTGTGTGTGTGTGTGTGTGTGTGTGTGTGTGTGTGTGTGTGTGTGTTTTAAGAGATCTTGGGGATACAGCTAAATCGTAGCATGTTAGCATGTTTGTCTAGCAAGTGTGAGGTCCTGCTCTCAATTCTAAGTACTGTGAGAAAACATACATTTTCAATACTAGTTGTAAGGCCTTAGGTAAATTATTTAGTTTATTTGAACTTCAGTTCACTCAATTTTGAAATAGGAAAAAAGGCAGTGATTTCTCTAAAAGATTACAGAAGAAATTAAATGAAGTAATACATGTAAGGGCACTTGGAATATAAAAACCAATCAGTGAATATTAGCTATTATTAATTACAATGTAATTTTATTTATCTCTGAGACTCCATGTGCATCATCAATCTGAGGTCTCTGTTTTTCTTCAGCTTTGGAAAGTGCAGTCTTTCTCTTTTCTCAGATACTCTAATTTCTGGATTAAGAACTCATAAGAAAGGAGGAGGGTTGTGCTCTAGAAACCAGACTAGGAAGCTTTGTCCTTTCCCTGTCCAGGCAGTGTCAAATGATGAACATCTCTCAGGACAAATGGGGACAAGAGAAAGCCCCTCCATACCATAAGAAGCAGAAGTGTGAGCTGGAGCAACCTGTTGCCAACACTAGAATTGGCCCGTATCACATACAGTCTGAGTTTGAGGAGACAATAAAAAATACTATGCTCTGAGACTGGATGTGGGGAACTTCTCCTGGGGCTCTGAGTGTCGCACTGGAAAACCAAGGATCATTGTTGCTGTCTACAGTACATTCAGTGACAAGTTGGTCTGCACCAACACACTGGTGAAGAACTGCATTATGCTTGCTGAGAGCACATCTAACAGTGGTAGAATACCAAATACGCACTGCCCCTGGGCTAAGAAGAGGCCAAGCTGACTCTTGAGGAGGAAGAGATTTTAAACAAAAAAATAACCAAAATTAAAAAGAAATATGATAAAAGGAAAAAGAATGCCAATATCAGCAGTCATCTGGTGAAGCATTTCCAACAGGACCAGCGTCTGGCCTGCATTGTATCAAGCCTGGGCCAGTGTGGTAGAGCAGAAGGCTACGTGCTTGAGAGCAAGGAGCTAGAGTTCTATCTGAGGAAGATCAAAGCCTAGAAAAGCAAATATGTTGTCATCCGTAGCTCATGTAATAAAGGTGTTTATTTTTCTTTTAAAAAAGAATAGAACTGTAAGGTGTGAACGAACCCTCTCTTCTCATTCTGTCTTCATTGTTCTTAATATCTCTTACTTTTTTTCCTTTGAGTCTCTGTGCTATTTACACTCATTCTAAACAAATTTGTGTTTTAATTATTTTTTATTATTTATTTTCTTTATTACTATTAGTTCTAATTCTTGTGTTTATTTTCCTGCTTGTTTGAGAAATTTACTTTTCAAAGGCAAAGATTAAGAACCAAAAGCAGCCAGGCCAGGCGGTGGTGGTGCACGTCTTAAATCCCAGCACTTAGGAGGCAGAGCCAGTCGGATCTCTGTGAGTTCGAGGCCAGCCTGGTCTACAGAACAAGACCCAGGACAGGCACCAAAACTATACAGAAAAACCCTGTCTCAAAAAAAAAAAAAAAAAAAAGAAAGAAAGAAAGAAAGAAAAAAGAACCAGAAACAACCATTCTGGCAAAGGCCTATGGCTGAAAGTACAAGAGCAAAGGAGTAGGACAGACATAAAAAGGGAGTAAATCCATTCCTACAGAACCCCTCCCTTGAAAGTAGTGTTAATCCATTTCAGAGAGTCTATGTCCTCATGACTTACATCCCATTTAGCCCTCTTCCCAATACCACAGCACTATGGCTCAAATTTTAAAGTCTCAACTTCAGAGTACACATTCAAAACATAGTAGAGGAAACAGTGATGCTACCAAATGTATTTGGGAAATACAAGTTTACATAATCCTTTAAGTCAACTTAAAATATAGTGTCTTTCACGTGTTTCTAACAACAACCCTGGGAAAAAAAGAACATGGTTTACTAACCCAGTTTTAAGACATAAGATCCAAGGTAAGAAACTACCAAGTCACCTACACAGAGAGAGAGAGAGAGAGAGAGAGAGGGAGGGAGGGAAGGAGGGAGGGAGGGGGGGAGGGAGAGGGAGGGAGGGAGAGGGAGAGAGGGAGAGAGGGAGGGAGGGAGAGAGAGAGAAAATAAATAGAATGAGACCAAGAAAACCCATTACACTTTCACTAATTGTTCATTAAGAGCACACAGATTTGGGTTTCTCTTGGTAACTATTCTTACTGGTTTTGGCTAATTTCAAGTATTAAAGCCTAAAACTCTTTCTACTTCCTTTCTGCTTCAACTTTTCGCATGTGATACTAATTGAGACTCCTACTATACTAGACACTGATGCTGCTGAAGGGATTTATGAAAATACCATGTAACCTTGCCTAGGTTCTAAGACACATCTTCCACTCTAATATTTCCACAGTTACATGGATCTTCCAATTTAGGCTCAAACAAACTGACATCAGTTAGACAAGACATCACAATAAACACAACTATGCTCATAAAATATATATTCGTTTGAACACAACTTTGGTTAAAAATATTTACATTTGTTTAAAAAATTATACAGTCATACTGTTCTCAAACAGAAAATAAGACTACACATATAAAGTGGATGGCCATATACTATGTAAGGCAGTTAAATCTTGGGGCTGGAGGGATGGCTCAGTGGTTACAAGCACTAACTGCTCATCCAGAGAACCCAGGTTCAATTCCCAAAACAGATATGGCAAGTCAGAATTGTCCGTAACTCCAGTTCCAGGGGATCTGACACCCTCATACAGACATACATGCAGGCAAAACCTCAATTTACATTAAATAAAATAAATAAAATCTAAAAAAACAGAAAAAGAAAATGACTTGTTGCTCATTTACAATGCCAGGGAATGGTTAATAAATTAGTAAAAAAAAAAAATCAAAATAGTTTCTTCTAAACTCACCCAAAAAAGTTCCTGTATGTTGTGTTACTTCCTTGTGTAAGAATCTATAATGGTCTAGGTATGAAACATGTCTATAATCTTAGCACTTGGGGATGGGGGTAGAGGCAAGAGGATTCAGGAGTTCAAGGGCATCATAGTTGAACCCAGTGTCTTAAGAAAACAAACAAGCAAACAAATTACAATAGTTTCTTATTGCTTCCTACTTCAAATACAGACACCTCCCAACTTTCCAGGCCCTCCACAATCTGACTTCATAAATTTAGAGAACTGCAATTTCTACTTTTCCCCCAACCACTCCCTGACTGAGCTCCATCTTTCTTATAACTCTGCTTTGGTCTGTTCACTACCAGTGTCTCTCCATTGAGAAAAAATCCTAACCAGCCTTCAGATTGAATTCAGGTTTCACTCCCTAATAGATCTTAAAAGCCTTAGGAGTGTGGAAAGCATCCCTCTCTTCTCCATCAGAGGAGAGAAAGCAAGCAGGCTGATGAGGCTCTGGGTTCAACCTAATGCATGGAAGAACAAAAAAGGAGGACTGGAGAGTAAAGGGATGCTAAAAGGGAAGGAGAGGCTAGAAGAGAGAGGCAGAGGAAGGGGGCCGCAGAGAAGGGGAAGGGAAGGAAGCTTTAAAGACAGAAAACTCAATCTTAAAAAAATTAAATGGAATCCTCAACCAAAGTGTTAAAAGTAGTTCCAGCTAGTCCAAAGCCCAGTTTGGGAACTGTTTTGATTTCACAGTACTGACACGTGAACAAGCAAATCAAACTGTAAGAATCAAACCCTATGCTTTACTTTGCTTTTCAATTTAATGTAACTAAAATACAAACAAGTCCGTTATTCAGTTGGGTTTCTTGCATTTTAACACATGACTTTCTACGATTTGGAGTAGACTGAAAGTTTATGAACCTTTAAGTCTCAATAAATTAAGTGTCATTGTTGAAAGGAAACGAGTGGATGAGCACTGATTACTCTTAGAAATACAACGCTGTGTTTGAACTTGGTGACACAGCCTGACGAGTCAGTCGCTCTCGGGTACTATTCACACCTTTTTCTCCCTATTTACAACCACGCACTATGATTCCTCTCAAGGATTAAAGTAAAGCTGTAATGCTATAAAGTTCCTAAAGAATGAGGAGTATCTAGTTAAACCAAAAAAAAAAAAAAAAAGGTTTTTGTGTGTGAAGGAATCTACTACTTCTGGTCAGAAGTCCTCTTTCTGGAATTTCTGATGAATGAGAAGAATTTTCATCTCACAAAGCAACGTGCAATTCCTTGTGTCACTACAATTGGCTATCCACCGAAACAACTGATGTTATTACAAAACAAGTTAAAGAAACAAACAAAGCTCTTTCAATTCCTGCTCTGATTCATTATTAGAATTTACCTCAACCACAATTACAGATACTGAATGCGAATGTCAGTTACTCTGAAGGACAGGACATTAGACAATTTAAACAGCAGCAAATTAAATTCAGCTATCCTTAGTCACTGACTGATGACTCTATTCCTATTTGTACATTTTTAAAGTAAGACTTATGTCCTTCCTGGAAGTTCTTTTTGCATTCCAGATTACAACAGGGACTCAAGTACAACAAAGGAAAAATGCAGTACGTCAGGAGTTAGGCAGGACAAGATTTACAAGCAACCACATACATGTAGTCAAATTCTTCAACAAAATTAAGAATCTTTATTTAAATTTTTTCAACATGTAATTTAGCACAATGAAACTTAGTTCTGGCTTAATATCAAACCTTGAAATATAATCAGAAAATGTATGTTCCTAATGTGTGCATTAGGAAAAATTACTTACAAAGAATGTTTTCCACTCTTTAGTACAGAGTTGCTTATACCATGCATCCAATGTCTTTCTAATGTCATAATTGTGTAAGAAACAAGAACTATCACTATCAATTTTCATCTTCCAGTTTAGAAGAAAAACCAAAAGTCTGTTTTCCATAAAATTAGAAATGATGGTGAAACAAGTTATTTTTTATTTTCAGGACACAAATAAAGGACTTTTTAAAGGGGATCTTATAACTGCTCAGAATGATATTAAACTTACAATCTTCCTAACCTGGCTTCCCAAGCCATATACTTTTAAACAGTTACACAATTTCTATATCTGAATTATTTTAACAAATGGTTGTTGTTATTTCTACTGCTGACTATCTGCCCACCCCCACACACACCCCTTCCTTTGTTAAAGTCACATCTGCAGGGGACAAAAGGGCTACTAAAAAAAGAACACTCGGCTCTTCCAAGTTCATATCCTGCCAACAGATATTTTGCAATGGTCAGGACTTAAACACGGTCACACAGGAGTATTTTTTTTACATATTAAGGTATTTAGGATAGAAATCCTTGGCTCAATTAAAGTAGTTGTATTAATAATATACTTTACTACATAAATCTGTGATCTTTGCCTAATCCTCTGATTTACAGCATGTTTTCTAAACTTTACATAACAAAGACTGAGTATGTCTGTTCCCCTTGTCTTTGCAATGAGTATATTTATCATTAATTATTGTCATGTATAAGTATTCATCCTAATGTGCATCCTTAAAGATCCCCAACAATGAAGCTTAGGTTTCTGAAGGGTTTTGTTTGTTTCTTTTCTTCATTAAAAAGATTCTCTGGGCCGGGCGGTGGTGGCGCACGCCTTTAATCCCAGCACTCGGGAGGCAGAGCCAGGCGGATCTCTGTGAGTTCGAGGCCAGCCTGGACTACCAAGTGAGTTCCAGGAAAGGCGCAAAGCTACACAGAGAAACCCTGTCTCGAAAAACCAAAAAAAAAAAAAAAAAGATTCTCTGACTTCAAGTCTAATGTCTAAATTGAAAACAGCAAGTAAACTATAGATATTTAATTCCTTAGAGTGAAATTATTTTCATAATGCTAGGAAACATCAAATAAGTATCATCCACCAACTGATATGGAACCAGCTCACAGAAATGAAATAATACATACACAGAGAGGCAATGGCTGAAATACATGTGGAACAGACAGTTTTCAAGTTGACCTGGTTTGCTTAGCCTCAACATATTTCCTTCTCTGAAATCTCTCAATTCCCCCTTTTATTACAAGGATTCATTCAGCCTAACTTGTCCTTATGGAAGGATTTAACATGAATATGGAAATACTCTTGCCCCACCCCCACCCCCGGCCTGTATTCATAAAACCCCAACCGTGTTTCAATCAGGAATTTTTTTTGTTGTTTTCTTTCCTCCCATCAAATGGTAATGAGAAGGGAAGGAAAACCTGCCTTTCACAGTCCATTTTAAGCATGACTAATAGTTGATCTTTCACCAGAAGTTGCCTGTTTAATTTAAAAAAATAATAAAGCAACCAACAATGCTCTAAGATTATATATTTCCATAAACCAAGGACTTTCTTAAAGCCCTGAAGAATAAACTATATTTCTCTGATATTTTAGGGTGTGAAGCTAGGGCTCAAAAAAGCATGACAAGCTGCTAAATATTTGAATCATAAGAATTTGCTAACATCTCACTTATTCAACACTCTTAACTGTGTGGCAAAGGGCCCAAGTTGTAAAATTAGGTCAAACAAGCAAATAGTAAAAGAATAAAATTAAGTATCACAAATCTTTTTTTTGAGGAAACTTGGTTTCCCTCATAGTAGAACCCTTTGGCTGTCACTAAATCATTAGATACTATTATTTTGTATAAATTTCTAACAAAGCAAGTGATCCTGGAAGAGACAACAAATGCATTCACACGAAGGCTGAAGGTGAAGACATGAAAGTTTCCCCAAAATAGGTTAGGTCAGACCTTCATGTCTACACACTCCCAACTTATTTTAAGCATCACTTGTTACACCAGATGATGAGACCTAATACTCCCAAGGAATACTTTAGCTATCAATGGTGAAATATCGTTACTATGTAATTTTAGGAATATGCATGACTTACAAGGTGTGTGCTTTTGCAGTTACATACATACACCCCTACCTTGTCTATGCCTTTTTTCTGTTTTCTGCCATAGCAACTCTTTCATGAGTCACCACATTACTATGACTTTATCCCTCCCTGCCTAGGTCTCACTACTTCAGTATCTGGATTCA